GACATCTATGTACAAGTGTCATTGAAATGTGATGATTAGTACTTGAAATATCAAAAGCTGAAAATTAATTAATTATGCAAATTAGGTAATTAATATGTATTCATATTACCCTAAAAACTCTCAGGTCTGTGCAGTGTCCTATGACATCTACGTACCAAGTTTCATTGAAATGTGACAATTACTACTTGAAATATCAAAAGCTGAAAATTAATTAATTATGCTAATTAGGTAATTAATATCTACTGATATTACCCTAAAAACTTTCCGGTTTGTGCAGTGTCCTATGACATCTATGTACCAAGTTTTATTGAAATGTGATGATTAGTACTTGAGATATCAGTGGAAAATCCGAAAATTGATTAATCATTATGCAAATTAGGTAATTAATATTGCACAGATTTTTACCCAAAACTAATCAAATCTGCGCATTAGTTTGGAGCATCTGTGTGCCAAGTTTCATCAAAATCCAATGAGTAATTCTTTAGATATCAGTGGAACAGTCATGAAACAGCTAAAAATCAGCTAATTATCATGCAAATTAGGTAATTAATATGCATGGATTTTTACCAAAACCTAATCAAATCTGTGCATTGGCCCAGAGCATCTATGCACCAAGTTTCATCAAAAACTGATGTATGGTTCTTGAGATATCAGTGGAACAGACGGACACACATACACACACACACATACACACATACAGACACACTAACTGCAAAGACTCCCTTTTTGTGCTTCGCACACGGGAGTCAAAAATATTATTATATATATATACAACAGATTTTAAAATGTATGGTTTTGTTGATGACCTGATTTATGTTACCACCAGAATGTTCTGAATAAACCTGGAAAAAACAGTATGCTAGAATATATGATTGTTTATTTACTTAATTACTTATGCAAAAGAACATCCAACAATAGAAATTCAGTACTTGCCTATCAATCTTTTCTATACACCAAGTAAACTGTTGTATCTTTCCGCAAAATAGTCCAAAAATAGTCCCATTCAAATTATGCTTGTATTCATGCAAGTTACATACCAAAATTCAACATTTTTAAATCAAAATTTATAAATATGTCATCTTCTGAATATTTGGTGCAAAATTAAAACTGAATTTGTTTTTTGATAATTTCTAAATATGCACACAAATATGTTGATTGATAGGAAAGGAAATCAGGATGTGAAGTGGTTACTGAGATAAGACCATACTCTTCCCATAGTTCACCACAAGACATCACACCTACTGCATACAAAGATGTTTTCTCTCATGGTTATATTATTTTGGGCAGTACTTGTCTCATCACAGAACACAGATATTGAAACTTCACAAAGGGATTCTACTGATCAATGTTCCTATACATTTATTGTACCAAGGAAAGACACAACGATTGATTCATCTGGGAATAGATCAGATAATCAACTATCGGACAGACTCGCCATATTGGAGCATAATTTACACCAGATACAAGTCGTTATGAACATACCATCAACTCAATATTCCAACTATCCAATCATCTATCCACAAGGTAAGATTTATACACTACCCATAGATCCTATAGACAACTGCAAGTTTATCACAATCCATGTAGGGGTGTAAACACTGGTACTAGATCTAGTGGTGAAATGGTACTAGATCTAGTGGTGAAATGGTACTAGATCTAGTGATGGAATGGTACTAGATCTAGTGGTGAAATGGGACTAGGTCTAGTGGTGAAATGGGACTCGTTCTAGAGGCAAAATGTACACAATGCGAGGGGCATTGTTATGGGGTAAGAATGACGTCATGTTGTTGTATTACATTTTAAATTACTATAAATATTTACGAAAAATTATTGTTATTACGGTACCAGTAAAATCTGAGAATGTAACAATACAGAGTAATTTGTGGCTTGTGTATATTGCATAAAAAGGAAAAGACGCCAAAAGTCTGTTTTGAGTGTTAGACCTTGGGTTTGTTTATGTTTGGTCTTAATGTAGCAGGCATCTAGCTTGTAATCAAACAAGTAGGGCTTAGTCTAGCCTGCACTTTACCCATGAAGCTTTGCAATATTTTAGTTTTTGTCTTGTAATTCAGGGTAGATAATCAAAGTGACCTTAATTTTACTCTTTGAATACCTATGACTATATACCTCTGTTTATAGGTATGCTAATTTTTGTTTTGTATTATTCAAAAAATAAGGGTTACAGTGGCTGGACAACAGGAAGTGCTCTGCCTCCTGCCAAGCTTCAAATGATATTTAAAGGGAAACCGATACTATAAATAGGGGCAAGATGGCCACCACAATTAGTATACTAATCCGAACCAAGTCGCTCACGTTGTGGCGGGAGCTCCGGGAAATGTGCCATTTACGATGTTTGGTGATCAAGCTGTGATTCCAAATACATTTCCATGGCGACATGAATATGTACGCTAGCGATTATACCCATCTAGTTGGGCTTTCGATATATAAATGTTGTTGTTTTCAGTCAAAACGTGCCGTGACAAGTAAAAATCATGAGTTTAAAATGGCGGCTAATGTATGCAAAACGCCTGTCAATCACAGTTTGGGTAAACGAAAATGTAAATCCCCTAGATGTTTATTCAATCTACAAAATTTGTTGGTTTACAAACAGCGTTATCGATACATAGTTTGTCTATGGTCTAACCATGCATCAGTAACATTGGGACATTTATTCGCATGGTTTTAATTTTGTGAAGTTTGCAGTGAGTCCAAAAGCAAAATCGTTCCACGTTGGAATGTAAAACACTCACTCCTGACCCACGATCTTACAAGTTTTACTGTAGTCATTGACACCTATTCAAGAGTAGGATGTTTATTGTGGTTATATTAAGCATGAATGGGTAAGCTTCGTTTCGACAATGAACTGTTATCATCGTTGTAGGCATCACAAGCTCCCACAGGTATTACAGTCTCTTACACCACCAACTAGAAAAGCGTACTCTGGTTATTTGATATATTTATTCCATATGGTCAATCGGAATGTTTACCCCAACAAGTATAATAAGTTTCGTTACGAAATCAGAACAGGGTAGTAAATCCCCAGAATATGGTTCTAAAATATACAAAACAAAATAGGAAAACTATAAATATTCAAAGTAAATCAAACAATTCTTATCATAAAATGTACAGTAAATTTAAATATACATTTCTCTTAATATGTGCAAAAAGCCGAGCAATACAAGTGATAAAATGGGAGTTCATACGAGTACACAGACTTGTAACGAATTACTGCCAATAATTTCATACTGATGAAGCCAACAATGAAAAAGAAAACCTTCCTTACCTCATTTAGTGGCACCTTCCCGGACCGGTGTACAAATGTTAGCAAACCTAGCAAAATTTTCAGAAAACTCAACGCGGCAGGGCAGGACAATTCAGATCAGGCACAGAGACACGTCTTCACTCTTCAGAACCACATGCAGAACTCAAGACAATAGCCTGCCTAGCCCAGAGTTCACCACAGGTGAAACAAAGGAATCTAACTATGTAATCAATAACCAATCAGAGGGGAGGTTTGCACAACTTACAATCGTAAAGTTAAATTAGTCTTCAAATGATCAGTTTATCTTTGAAACAACTAATTTCTTGATTTAAAAAAAAATCGTGCCATTTTCCCATCAAAATCAAAGGTAAAAAATCGGCAAATCTCTCCCGTGTTTCGTTCATTATGGTAAATTGAACACGTTGGCATCATCCAGCATTTTGATCGGTGTATTAGCGATGTGATCCATCAGGTCAACTTTGTTAGAGACGAACAATGGCGGATATTGTATCGCATCGAGCATTTACATGCGACTGGATTTATTTGTTTAACATGGAACTAAATTGAATTTTAGGGGAGAGTAGGAAATCAAACGGGAGGTTTACCGCGGCTCTACGCGGTACACCGGGGAGAGCCGCGGACTGCTTATAATTAGGGGTCTCTACCGCAGTGGCCACCGATACCGGTTGCAACCGCGGTCATAGAAAAGGTGTGAAATACGTACTTAACAGTTTCCTTTGTGATTCCATGAGTCTTTGTTTCAAATAGCTGTTTTTAATTCGAGTAGGTTACGAGCATTGTTGACATGAAAATACTAAGCATATGGTAATATTATCGGCCCACATATTTTATTAATATAAAAATCCGTAAGTCCAATGCTGTATACGAATTGTTGCTGCGTGAAACAATGTTGTGTTTTATGCATGTATTTATCACCAATTCCAAGAGTAAAAGTCGTAACTTTCGAAGGTACGAGTATTATGACTCGTCCATACATTTCACTTACGTTTGTTACACTTGAATAAAGTCTACCACATAAAAAGAATGTTATTTACGAAGTT